TAATATAGGGATAATTGCAGCAGCGGTACCAAACCTTTCATTTTTGTCACCAACGGTACCAAACCTTTCAAAATGTCCTCAACTGAAGTTCAAATGAATGGTTTCTGTTAGTTTGACCGTTAGTTGACCAAATAATTGAATTTGACAATAATATTGAATGATTTTAAAATGTTAATTTTATATTTTTTAATAATAAAATAACCAAAATCAAATAATTAAAATTAAAAACCCATTCCACATTATTCTTTTCCACCCATCCCCACCCCCACCCCCACCCCCACCCCCACCCCAAATATGCAAATCTGGGAAATCAATATCTTCGAATCCTCGAATCCATGTCGTCAGGAACCTGTTGCCCAACTATGTAGATCTACGGAGGCGGATTAGAGATTTGGACTTAACAGCCGATCAGAAATGGAGCTCGATAAAAATCTGGATTTCCTATTGAAATGGTCTGCCGAAGAGACTATCTTTGACCAAAGAGAAGAAGAAGAGATAAGAGATTGAAAAGGGTTTAGGGATTTTCTGAAATCTAAGCAAGTTTTTTGTAAGGTCAATTTCTTGCTGCTAATTTGTGGGAGCACTTATGGGGATCGCTGCAGCCTGTATATGGGTGGATTGTGATCGTCTACACGGTGGAGATAGGTAGATTTTGGTTTGTTTGGTTGGTGTTGGGGGGAGGGAAGATGGGGGTAAGTGTGGGGGGTGGGAAGAAGATGAACTGTTATGGATGAAGTTTTGAGTTTCTGATTCCATGGCCAATGAAGATGAAGTTTTGAGCTAAATGCACAGACAGAGTTCCTTAGAGCATTGCCATTGCAGAAGCGCACATTCGATTCTGGGGACTCCATTCCCGAGTTTATTGAAGCGTTCTCGAAGTTTCAAACCCAGATTTGCAGATTTGGGGTGGGGGTGGGTGGAGAAGAAGAAGAAGGTGGAATGAGTTTTTAATTTTAATTATTTGATTTTGGCTATTTTATTATTAAAAAATGTAAAATTACCATTTTAACCTTTTAAAATTAGTCAACATTGTTGTCAAAATCAATTATTTGGTCAACTAACGATCAAATTAACAGAAACCATTCATTTGGGCTTCAACTGCAGACATTTTGAACGATTTGGTACAGTTGGTGACAAAAATGAAATGTTTGATATCGTGGATTGCACAAATGAAAGGTTTGAGCAAAGTCTGCTTCTTAATGAATGTTTGGTACCGTTGCTACAATTATTCCTATAATATATTTACTTATTTCACAGAATCTTTCAATGATCCTGTAGTATCATCAGTTGCAGAGCTAGGTGGCAGGATGGCGACTGCTCCCGTAACATTTTAATTTTTTTGAATTTTAATTAACATGTATATATACTTTGTCTCTTCTCCCCTCCAACATCGAGATCCTTGCTCCGCCACTGGGTGTCATTGTTCATTGTAGGAGTAGAAATGTCATGCAGGAGCGGATAACAAAATCTTTTGGTCTTGTTGGTTCTACTATGTCCTTGTCCATGAAGCATGTTTGGCGACCTTGCTTTTAGGTGTTTTGTATAAAAAATTTGTCAAACATTGATAGAAGTTGTAGTAAAAACAATACACGATCAAACAATAATAACGACTTGACACAAGTTGAGATTCTACTCTTTGTTCAACATTTGTATTTTATCTCATGTTGGTAGTATTTTCAAGTGACTTTTAAAGTCTGAACTAAATATTATATCTAATAAGTGAATAAAGAAGTTTCATTGTTGTCGAACTTGACTTCAAGTTGTTCAAGAATAATAGCATTGGGTTTTTCGACCCAAAAATATGTACTTTAGCTTATTTTTTACTTTTGAATTCCAGAATCTTGAATTGCGCCTGAAAGATGGGGTACGATGAAATCGATGGGTAAGCCCATGTATGATCATATTAATGTTAGGGATGATTGCAATAAAACTCACAACCCTTTGAAATACTACCAGACTTTTTCCAAACATTTGATTTGTTGCAGCCGTCACCCCGAACATTTTCAAACGTTGCAGGTGAAGCCCTTCTCGACAGTTTCCATCCACAATTTCATCAATTGGTCAAAAATTTAACTTTGAGCACATTTTTAATATTTTAAAAAGAGGCAAAAGAGTAACTTTATATTTATCATATTAAATAATTAAACTAATTAAATTAACAAAATAAGAAATAAGTAAAAAAAAACACAATCGTCTTCTTCTTCTTCTTCTTCTCATCCCCACGCCCACCCCTTCTCCCAGCTCAAATCTAAAATCAGCCATCAGACCACCGCCACATCTAATTCTTTAGGGTTTGTCTTTTGCAAAACTACAAAGAAAACCCCAAGAAATATAACATGGATGAGAGTGAAATTTTGGAGTCCAAGATATCAAAAGAATTAAACCCAGAAACCTAAGCATCCAAGAAAAGGTCATTTTTTTCAGAGTTTTGAGAAATTGGTAGGTGCTAAGATCACATTTATGGTTGTTTTAGTTAGCAAATTAGTTTATATTCTAGATTACTTAGAATTTTTCTTGAAATCAAGAAGAAAAATTCCTAGATTTTCTCTTTCCCGCTTAAAAGTTCTCAGGAAGAATGTGGATCAGAAAAATGTGGTGGAATTAAAAATGCAAGAAAGTGATAAAAAACAGAGAAGTGAAGGGCCTCCTCCTAAATTCTTTTGATTCTGATTTTGGGTTTGAGGTGGGAGGAGGGGTCAGCATGGGGGATGAGAAGAAGAAGACAATTGTGTTTTTTTTTCCTTATTTTTTTAAATTTAATTAGTTTAATTATTTAATGTGATAAATTAAAATTATTCTTTTGCCCATTTTTAAAATATTAAAAATGTGGTCAAAGTTAAATTTTTGGTCAACTGACAGAATTATAGATGGAAACTATCCAGAAGGGCTTTACTTGTAACGTTAGGAAAGATTAAGAGTGACGGTTGCAACAAATCAAAGATTTGAAAAAAGGTTTGGGGCTTTTGCTGCAATTATTCCTTAATTTTATAAGGGGGTGTTTGATGCACATTATTAAGAAGAAAATGCATTTTATGATGTGATGAAAAATATGTGGTTAAAAAATAAATAAAAGTTTTGAATTTAAAAGAATGAATTTTGGGAAGAATGTGGACCAAAATTGGGGTATTTAGAAGTATATTTTTCATTTTGAGTACACCTGGCTAGCTATAGTTGCTAAAATTCCGATTTGCTAAGAGTCTTCGTCTACAACGAGAAAATGAGACAGAACAAGGTGTTGGAGATAGAAATGTTGGAAAATGCTGACCTCTTGTTGGTGAGAAGATTTTGACATCAAGCTTCACTCTCTAGTCACAAAATTCTGCCTTCTTCACAAAACCAGGAAAATGCAGCAAGGTGAATTGTTCATCCGCCCAGTGGTAGTCAATGACTTCTAGCTGAACCTTCCTAATTAGAAATCACCTAAATGGGGAAAATGAGAGACCGAGTTTGCGAATGCATGAGCTCGCCAAGGAAACAGTTGGCATAGGCAAATATGCGACGAGTAAAATTAGTTAACTTTTTAAAGCTTTAACCAACCAAGCTATAATTCATTCGTAAAGATAGAAGTTCAGTTCTTTTTTGGTTATTAAATGAACAATACAAATAAAAGATTGAGCCGCGTTTCTTAAATTCTCATTGAAATTAACATAGTTCGACCATAACAATACCTAGAGGTGGGTGAATAAGCATATAATGCGAAATTAAAATTATCAATTAATTAACAACATGTCACCATTATCTCTAGATGATTAAACATACAAATCAATTTAACCTATATTTAAATACCGCAGTTAATATAATCAATACAGAAAGCAGTAAAAACACACGGTATGATCACAGAGAAACCTTAACTGAGTAAAAACTTCGAGTACTTTGCCAGTCAAAAATATACTATAAACGATTTGTAACTTACAGTCTACCAGACTAGACGACGACATGTACTATCTGATCTCCTGACTGCAATTCAAACATCTTTCCTGGATTCTGTGCTCCTGCACCACTCTCAGCTGCAGTTTCCAAAACTTTCCTGGATTGTGCTCTCCTTCAGCAACTCCTAACTTTGTGAAATCCGAGCCGTATTTTTTCTTTTACCATACTCGAACCCTAGACCTAAAAACTTATTTCTATATAATTGCACATTATTCCTTGACTTTTTACAACATTTACAATTAAGTCCATTTTATTTACAAAATTTCCAATTACATAATCAAAAACCTAACACTCATCATTTTCATACATCTCTTGGAAATAAAAAGGCAAAAATAATTTTAATTATTCATTCTGTATAACAGCATTCATCTGAAAAGCACTACAAAATTTGTGTCCAACGTAAACAAAAACAGAACATCCTAACCTGAAGAATGATCTGCACAACAATAGCAAGCAGGTCTACAAACACTACATATACAACACGAAACAGGCTCCAACGCAAGAAACAAGGCAGACTGTCTGGACGGCTTGAGATCAAAAGCTGCAAGCATAATAAACTGCAGATAAAGACGATGGCTGAGCTACAGACATGGAAATAAACACATCATACTTCCTCGGAAAGATTTATGAACATTTCCTTTTATCTTACATAGAAATACACAAGCACGTTCAATAACACATTTCCCTGGTCCCACGTCACCTCTTGGTACATTGCAATTGTTCTCAAGTTCAATACAGTCCAAAATTGATGAAGCTGTGCCTAAAGAAGACGTGCTAAACAAAAAGGGGGAAATTCAAAAAGGCTGTAAATGGAAAAACCACCTTTTTAGTGTTTCCTAGAGGCTGATGCATCCAAGATTGTGAAGATGGAGACTCGAAAGATCAGTTATCGCATAATCTCTCAACCAAACAGGCAACCGTGATTAATGGCATCGATGAAGGATACAACAGCTATAACATTTACTGTCTTCACTTCTTCAGGTTCTTACTTCTATTCACATAATTTGGACCTGACTTGTCACGACCTCCACTGCACTGCCACAATGAGAAGCTCCCACCCGCATTGAATTCTAGACTAGTCGATGCCTGAAGTTCTGTGGGGCAACTTGATTTTTTTTGCTGGCCACCAAATTGAAAGGGATTGGGTTGTGACCCAAACGGCCAAACATGAGTCCTGGGGGAGAAGGTGAGACAGTTGGTAGACCAAATACGGGAACAGAAGGTGCAGATGTCTGAAGGGCAAATTGATTTTGCTGGCCACCTAATTGAAAGGGATTGGGTTGGCCCCCAAACATGAGTCTTGGGGGAGAATGTGAGACAGGTGGAAGACCAAATACGGGAACAGAAGGTGCAGATGTCTGAAGGGCAACTTGATTTTGCTGGCCACCTAATTGAAAGGGATTGGGTTGGCTCTCAAACATGAGTCCTGGGGGAGAAGGTGAGACAGTTGGTAGACCAAATACGGGAACAGAAGGTGCAGACAATCGAATGGTATCCTCAGCCATGCTGTCTTCGGCATTCATCAGACCATTCCCAGGAGAGGCTGCAAAAGCAGGAAGATTACCAAATACTGTCTGTGTATGAGATAGAGATGGTGAAGATAAGGCTGCAGCTGAGGCTGCAGTAAATGAAAAAAAGGGGTTTGATGAGGCCCCAGTGGACGAATTAAATACCACTGGTGCAGTGTTTGTAGCTGTGAAAGAAGAAGCTGATGCACCAAAGGCGAATCCAGTTGATGAGGATGGAGAAGTGAAAGTGGAACCAAGAATAAGAGACTCGGGACTTTGCCAACTCGAACCAAATAAGTTAGAAGTAGGATTGCTGGAGATAACCACGTTGGTAGCTGAAGAGGGAGCCGATGAACTTGCACCAAGTCTGAATATACCATAAGTACCACTGCTGAAGGAGCTAGCAGCATTGATTCCCGACGTGGAAGCTGCAGAACTGCTACCAAAGCTGAATACACTAGGAGCGGCTCCACTGGTAGAGCCAACTACATTGGCGGAGGAAGAGGAAGAACTGAGACCAAAACTAAATATTCCAGGAGTGGCACCGCTGCTGGAGCTAATGGCACCACCATCTGAAAAAGCAGCAGAACTCACACCGAAATTGAATACACTAACTGTTAGTCCACTGCCAGGGACAACTGCATTGCTTTCAGATGAGGAAGCTACAGAACTGAAACCAAAATTACTATTTGTACTGGGCACTTGGGAATTGGCCAAGGAAGATGCAAATGATGTATTGTTAGTGATACTAGAAGAGGGTAAAGATGACCCACATAAAATAGGCATGCTTTGAGCAACAGTGTCAGATTCCAGAGATCCACTACCATTACCAAAAAGAGAACCCTGAGAAAGGATATTTGCAGTTGAAGTGACCGAAGATTAACCAATATATATAACATGTGCATCCATTGATATGGTATATTTTGAAATCAAGAAAATGAAAGCATTTACTACACAGATATATTTAATAACATAATTGAACCTTGAGAATGGCCGTTGGATTAACTCTGGGATATGGAGTACGAGTCATGTTGTAAATTGCTGATCTGCCTCGAGATCTTGGGGTTATAAAACCATTCTCTGGAACCCCAACGTCAACAGCAGCTCTGGTTGTCGATGACATGACAGGTGCTTTTGGAGTAAATGGAACATTGCTAAGCAATCTTGCATCTTCCCTACCAATTTGACTGCGCATCCCCAACTTTGATGGTGATATCTTTGAAGCCCCACTACCCATGTAAGCTTTTGCAAGTTCAGCTGGAGAAGCAATATCATCCTCAAGGACCTGGAAACATTTCTTCCAAATAAATATCAAAGACAACTCTTCTGGTACCTTATATTAATGCAGATACTGCAAGAAAATATTGTATACAAAATTACAAAAGACACAAGTATTGTGCGTGTAAATAAGTATACTCTTGAACTGGCTATAGTAGTATTGACTCCATGATATCTATCTTCTTCCAATGAAGTACTCGATAACTGTTGATGCCTTCCCAAATCGGATGCTAGCTCAGGTAATGCTTCTTGAGTTCTTTTGCCAACCGGCACTTCTTCAGCTCGTGAACGTAATATTTCCGTGAGGAGTTCAATCTCAGATCTGCATCAATAAAGCTTCACTTCAATAACTCAAGCTCAACAGAAATGCAAACTTCAGAACCTAAAGATAGAATATTTAGTTTAAACACCTGACATGTACATCAAAATATCCGCGCGAGGAATTCATTATAAGATTTTGCATGTAACAGATAGCAAAAAGAGGATTCCCTAGGGATAAAAGGAATTGGGCAAGAACCCGTAAACAAGTAAACTCGTTAAATCTTGAAAGGCAAAGTTACACATCGTGAAAGATATTACACCTAGTGATTTAAGAAGTTAACTGAGGCATATGCTTGAGGCGTACACCACTTGAGGTTTAAACTCCTCAAATCCAATGCCTTGAAGACTTGCAAATCGATTTTCAGAGGCTTATGCCTCAAGGCTAAGCTCAGTTGGTCCGGATTTGAAATTTTGAACATGACCATAGAAAAGGGTCACAACTTTTATATTAAAGAAAACCCTGGCAAAAACTTCAGTTGTCTAGAGCATTCGGCTCTCAAAATAGACATCGTGCATGTACACATGCAAACAACCTGTTCATGACTGGTGACATTTTTCCAGAGCCTTACCTGGTGAATGTCATATGCTTTAACAGTTGCTCAAGCTCAGATATCCCACCAATGTCAGAGTGATTTACTGGATGACTACTACTACCATCTGCAGGTTCTTTTGCACCAGATTGACTCTTCACCAATTAAAAAAGACATAAAAAACTTTCATCAGCTTTAAGAGTCGTAATGCAAATCCTCAAGTAAATGAAACAGAGTAGCTAACAAAAAAAATGTAGGGCTTCAAAATGCACAGTTTCTCGCGACAATTGCAAATTAGCTAACAATCTATAAGGAATTCCGCACTTCTTATATGAAAGTCCACCTTCAGGATCCCACTAATAAATATTTTGGCATGATATATGTTTCATGAACCTAATCTTTCTGCAGTGACTTGGAAGTTGGATCTGCTCCTTGTGGAAAGTTAAATTGAAAGACGACAAACATAGCTAACCTTATATAGAATTAGATTTTAGATCAAAACGCATAAGAACTCATCAAACCCTTATTACACCTTTAAATGGGCCTAAAATATTCCATTTGATTAAGCTTCCGTTTGCAAAATTTACAAATCATGTATAAAATGTTCAAACTTCATTTTCAACCACATTCCAATGGATCCACAAGTACTTTCCGCTTGTCAACCATTCATTTCTACCTATTTATAAATTAAACCGATTATAAATTCTTCCCAAATGGAGGCTTAATTGCCAACTTAAATGTTTATCCATCCCACATCAGATTGTGGTTGTAGAAAGCATTTTGATCCTTTCCACCTCCCCTTCTTTTAATTAATTAGTATATCTAGATTTGACTGCAATTTTCCTGATGAACAATAAGCGAGTTTATCCAAATAGCAGTGTGAGTTCCCATACTGATAAGAATTTGGTCTTTGGAAGAAGCAAGCACAACCAACTCCAATCTCGATGTGCTCGCTTTTGCTTGTTTCAGTTTTCTGTAACCGCAAGAACTCCCGGTAATGAATTTTAGTAGTAAATTTGTTTTCAAATAAGCTGTCTTTTTTCCAGCAGTCTCTTTCATTTGTAGAGATATAGACGCTCCATGACCTAGACAAAGGTGTGATTGCCTCAGCTCGTGGAAACCAGACTACAAGGCATCAACTCTGTTTACGTGTTAGATTCTTCCTCAATCCTTTTCTATTCAGTTTTAAATATTTTTAAGGCTTGCAAAAAGTGCAAATTCAGATAATGTAGGGTGAGGATATTCACACACGAAGATCAGCTAATACCCGAATTTCATGAAATTCATGTTTATGAATATAACACTATTCCGCATATATGAAACATCGACACGGACATGCCAAAGGCAAATTTCAAAAAAAAGTAGGACATGACTCATCCAGGACACATCAATTAAAATAATATTTAAATATGAACTATTAATATTTTATAGTGTAAGAACACTTTTTAATTCTTTTATAATTGCATGGGCCTTTTTGCAATTAAAGTTAAAATTGTATGGCCCCTTTTGCAAATAAATTTATCTTCTCACAAGTCTTAATGGGTCAATAAAAGTTTGACTTGCTATCCAAGTACCCTTTTGACTGAAAAAGAATAAAAGCCCTCTTTTTAACGAGTCGACTTCTATGTCGAAGTCGTTAACTCACGTACTGTCCGTTTTGGAAGAGTCTGAACCCATCTTACTCTTCAAGAATTTTTGTTGTGTCCCCAATATTCGAACCTATGACCTTTGCCTTATGAGAGACTTAAGTTAAATCCTTTGAACATGACACAAATTCGTGAAGGGTAGATGAGCTCAGGCTCTTCCCAGAATGGACAGTACGTAAGTTAAAGATTTAGACATAAAAGTCGGGTCATTACACTCTTTAACCCTAACTACCCGAGCCTCGCGTACGACTATTCTCTTATGTACTGTCTGTTATGGGAGAGCCTATCCCATCTCACCCATCACGACTTTATGTCATCCTAACTTGTACCAGTATTCAACTTAAGTATTTTAAAGGCAAAGAGGTCATGTGTTTAAATCCTGGAAAGGCGGCTCTCCCATCGTGGACAATATGTAAGAGAACGGTCAAGCATGAGGCTTGAGCTTTAAAAAAAATGCGCAGTTTTTGTAATGACCTAAGCCTTGCGCCCGACCGTTCTTTTACGTAATGTCCGCTCTAGGAGAGCTCGAGCCCATCTTCCTCTCACGAATTCCTATAGTGTCCTCAAGATTCTAACGTATGACCAATTGGTATCAGAATTCAATTTAAGGCTCTATTAAGGGAAATGTCATAAGTTCAAAACATTGGGATGCGATTGAAATCCATAAAGGGTAAGATGGGCTCATGCTCTCTTAGAGGGAACAGTACGTAAGAAAAGGACCAACCCATACGCACAAACCATTAATTTACATAATGTCCACTTTAGGTGGACATCTGTCCACTTATTCCCTCACGAATTTCTATCATGTCCCTAGTATTTGAACTCATGGCCTTATCCTTAAGAGAGAATTAAGTTGAATCCCAGTACTAATTCAGCAAGTTAAGACTTAAGACTATGCAAAAGAATGTATAAATGTCAAATATGTTTACACTTAATAAACAGTAAATGTTCAAAGCATGTATATATATTCTATTTACATGCAGAAGCGTATTCAATAGTAACAAGGAAATATGAATATCAAAAACACAGTTTAACAGAAATTGCAGTTTACAAAAGAACATAACCCATCTTTAACATATTATAGCACACAAAGTAGCAGAATATAATTTTTTAAGAAACCATCAAAAAATCACTGGTTAGATTTCTTTTTGTCAAATTGGTACTATAATTCAACTTAAATCTCTCTTAAGGAAAAGATCGTGGGTTCAAATCCTGGAGATGAGATAAAAATTCGGGAGGAAGTAAGTGGGCAAAAGTCCACCCAAACCAGATGGTGCGTAAGTTAAAGGTTTGGACATAAAGACCGAGTTGATAAAAAAACAGATATCAAAACAAAAGTACCAATTTTTCTAGATTCATCCATGAGCTTCTTCTCCACTTCACAAATCCACCTCTGCCTACTCTCGCATGTCCTATATATTTCATTCCCTCTCTCCCCAATGGCATTTTCTCCATTGATCGAGCTTAGTTTATCCTACATTTAGTAATTTCTCCTTTTCCTCTTGAGAAATGTGTTGACCCCATGTATCCGACAATGTCAACTGCTTGAATGAAGGGGGACACACCAGGTGGTGCTTCTAACACGTGTCCACCGTGTATCCGGTGAGTCGGTATCCGACACGTGTTAGACATTAACACTCCGGCCTCTCGACGTGTCCATGCTTCATAGCTCTGCATCAGCAGCCTTTTCTTTCTACAACTAAGTCAACAAATATTGTTACTTCCATATCCAAATCGTATCAACTTTTGAGATAAGAACCAGCATCAAAAATCTCAATTGGAAAGTGTATCATACATCCTATTTTCTTCCAAATTCCCAAAAATGCCTTCATAAATATACTTCTGAAGCCGTCCACAAGACAAGCTCAATAAGCAATTAACATTGGTTTACAAAGTATATGATTACAAATACAAATCACAACATAATGACATTTACTCTTTTCAACTCTTCATAGCGAGTTGAAACATTTGTTCATTGATATGGATGCCCAGTATTATCAAGAGAGAGTGCACATAAGTGCTGATCTAGAAGAATTCTTCTGCCTCTTCTACCCGTCCATGAATGTGAAATACCAATAGACAACAATTGTCTCGTGTAAGATTTCACCAACTAAAAAATTGTCCATTCAAAGTTAACAGTAGAAATTGAGGGGAAAAACGACATCCCCACATTATAACTCATTTTGGTAAATGTGACGAACATGTGTGGGTAGAGATGAAATTTGAAATTGTAGTGGTGAGGTGTCGAACAAATAGGATTCTTTTCTTTAAAAGGAGGAGATGATAAATAACATTAGATGGAATGAGTATCTACAGTTCATGAGAATCAGTGCAACTCAGCTATAAGGCTTCCAAGGAAGTAACAGAAGGTGTGGATATGCACTGCAGCACTGGTGTGAAATATGCCCTACATAGAATGTGTGTTCTGAACAAAGTATCACTCCTCACACAGTTTCAACTTATCTTATTATAGTAGAGTTCTCCAAAAGTTGAAAACTTCTCTAAGGAAAGACTGAAAATATTTCAAATCCTCAAACTACTACTAAGTGAATAACAAGTGATGCTCCATTTTTTTTAAAACACTCCAAAATTATGCTAGGCTCATTAAGAACCTCAAAGTTTACTCTTTTAGTTCCATTTGCTAAGTTTTATGTCTAGACTTATAGAGGTGCACATCTCAGTGCACAACCTTTGGCCCACCTGAAGTGTGAGATGCTTTTTACTCTTTCCTATTCTGAAATTTTTTACCTTTGCCTTTTGGGCCTCATATTCTAGAGAGTTTTTAAGGGTTTTTTGAGTTGTTTTAAAGAAAACTCACAAGTGAACTAGAAAGAATCATTGGTGTGGTAGCCTCACAAATGAAGTATGATACCCCGAACCCCACACTCACATCAACAGACACGGATTGAAGTTGCGATGTTTCAAATTGTGACTTCAGTCACCCCAATCTTTTCTTTCCTTTTATTTTTCTTCCTGTTGTCAATGCGTTTGTGATTATATTACGGAACATTTTTTAATAACATATTACTTTTAGATCTTCAATAAACCCCAATTCGACATTTCCCATTTTTTAGGCAAGACGGCCTAGTCACGTATTCTAAAATAACCAAAATCAGTATATCCAATAATAATGTAGCGGGCCTATATATCAAGGTCAGCCTTCTAAACAAACAGTCAAGTAGTGAAGGAGATCTTTTCCAAATCCAACTCCCAAATTTTCTTAACAATTTTCTATCCATTTTTAAAAAGATAGAATGTAGATGATCCGTATTCAGGATTGGTGTAACCAATTTATAAATAAGCAATACCGAGAGTAAATTTTTTAGCAATCTACATAAATTAATATTTTGAAGATGGAAATAGAAGAGCGTAAAAGCCAAAAGAAATACAACTTTCAGGACGAGAAAACATGTATAATTACACTTACATTAGGAATCGCCTCCTGAAGGCCGTCGCTCAATTCATTATTTGCCTCTGTAACGGATCATAAAATCAATAAGGTCTCACTCAGATATAGTAATAAACTTCACACCTCCTGAGGTATGTATCCCATATATAGGTCTTGATTATCTTCTTTTAGATATCATAAAAGAAATGATAAGCCACCTCCTAGGAAGAGAGGTCACATTAGATAGTCACCGTGAATGTGCTTTCCCATGGAAACAAATAGAAATAGAATTACTGAATCACGATTCCTTCAAAATTGACACATCTTTATTGTGAAAAAACTGCACCTATTTCGCAAGAATAATAATAATACTGTACGAAAAAGAAATATTGACAGAGAAAACTGTGTGCCAGTATAGTAACGGCGAATTCATTTTTCATTGTCAAAATTCATTTCAACTAAAATTCTAAAACTACAAACCTTCGGACATTAGAACTTCTTCATTTTCCCTAACATAACATTGAGCTCTAAAAAACTGGAACCAAGAGAAATGATAAGTAATAGAACCACGTCATAGCTCTAGTCACTCACATAAATATCATGATACTACCTTTATTCTTAACCTTAAACTAACAAAGAAAAATTCATCCCAAGATAAATAAACAAACAACAAACGAATTCAGATACTTACATATATTCGCCTAGAAACACAAATTTTGGAGTAAGAAGTGCAAATGTAAAAAAAAAATAATCTGAAATCAAGATTTTCACACAAAATTGAATAAAACGTAACTAATATACCAAATCACGAGAGTAAGAAGTGCAAATGTAAAAAAAATTAAACCTGAAATCAAGATTTTCACACGAAATTGAATAAAGCGTAACTAATATACCAAATCACGAGACAAAAAAAAGAAGAAGAAGAAGAAGAAAAACATTTTCTGGAGAAAAAATCACACTGGAATATATACTTGGTAGTTGAGGAGGAGGTGGAAGGCTTTTGCCAAAGAAGCGGTGAGCCCCATAAGAGATGAGCTTGGAGGCCGGGTCCATCACGAGCTTATTCGACCGGCTAGCGTTGTTATTGTTGGTGGCGCCGGTGATAATTCCTCTGAGAGCAGTGAGGGGGCGATCGTACGGCGTCGTATGGTGGTCTCTACGGATGCACTCATTAGTCCGTTGTTCTTCTTGCCAACAGCTTCGCTTCTTCCTTGATGACCTCATGACCTCTTCTGTTCTGGAACTAACCGAAGTACAAAGGAGTAGTATTCCACCCGGCAGCTTCAAGGGGGGATGGATTCCACCAGTTAGTTAGCTGGTTCCAGTTAGCTTCGAGGAGGGGCAGCATTTGCGGATTCCCCAGAATAAGCTTTTGAATCAGAGATCTCAGCACTATGAGAAGTTCCTTTTGGATCGCTTGCCTCAAATCTGCCTAGAGAAAGACTTTAGAGTTTGACATAGCTGATGGTAGTAGATTGTACATGAGGGAGGTTTAAGCCGTTTGAACGAGTTGACGAGTGGAAGGAACGAAGTGATCGAGAGCAGAAGGAGTTGGATAGACACCAACCACTATATTATATACGACATGCTCAGATCTTTCTGTATCAAAGCCAGAAAGCAATCAACCGAGCAAGCTAAGATGAATCAGAGAAGTTCCTCGCCTCGGAAAAGAACTGAAGAGATTGGATGATCTGTCTCAGCTCAAAGAAAGATAGAGCATTCTAGTCGTGATCCCCTGAGCTTCTTTCTAAAAGTCTGTGGTTTTATCTATGTCCATGTATGAGCTGCATCTCATTGAATGTTAATGGAGGAGCGATCCCCTTCTGACTCTGAAACCGAGATGACATCCTACTCGCGGTCAAAGCATTGATGATCCCCTCTTCTTCTTTATGATCTTGTAAGATCCTTGATTCATTCAACTGAAACAGAAGCTACGGGCCCGAGGGTACGAGGTGAAGGGGGTCCCTATTCATGAGCAGATGCACCAACCGCATTTCATGAGATTGGAATATAGGGATTGGTCCCTTTGATACTATAGATCTCTCCCCCAATCAACATTTTTAACCGCTACGCTACCTTTTATTAAATAGAAACCTCGCTTCTTTCGTTCCATCTATGATGTCTCCTTGAAGTCAGTATCGACGCTTGACGCTACGAATTGAATAGTCTTTGAGAATTCCCTTTGTTTGTTCAAACTTTGATAACCTAACCCTCGTTCGATAGAACTAACCAACCTTCCCTAAAAGTGGAGGTAGGAGATCCAGTTAACGAATAGGATACGGCTGTAGCTGCAAGGAGGAATGCTTTCTCGGAAGCTCTTTCTTAATCTGATAGAAAGTGGTTCCTTATTCTCGGCACCTATCAAAGTCATGTAATCCCTGTGTACTTGTTATCGAAGCAGCACCCTTTTTGAAATTCGATGCTTTACTTTCAGCTCAGAGAATTGACTTCTTCGGTCGTTCAGAGATGGCTCCTATGCGGTGGGTTCGACTCCCCAACGAGATATGTCAAAAATTGCGTATAGTATAGAAAAAAGATTTGGGCTGGCCAGAATCTATCAAAGAAGCCGCCCTTCTTCCTTTCCTTTGTGCATCTTTCTTTTTCCCATGCTTTCCGTTGGAAAAGAACCAACAAAAGTTCTCTATACTTCTTCACTACTCGTACAGGCTTGACGGAGTTAAGCTGTCTGGAGGGAATAATTTCTTCTTAATCAATCATGCCTCAACTAGATAAATTCACTTATTTTACCCAATTCTTCTGGTCATGCCTTTTACTCTTTACTTTCTATAT